TGAGAGAGAGAGAGAGAGAGAGAGAGAGAGAGAGAGAGAGAGAGAGAGATGTTATGTACCTGGAAGAAGCCCCATTCTTGACAAGCAGTGATGAGGTTGAGGAACTCATCTTTGCTGCCATCGGCAAGCTGGGATAAATCAATCACGGGTATGTTGAGGTTTGTTGCAGGATTATAATCATGTGATGAGGGATTGATAGATTTATCAAGGGTTGGCCTTTCTTTTGTGTCACGGATAAATCTATCAGGGATTTCTGACGGTTTTGCCCTTTTCAGTTCTTGCACATCATCTATGTGCCCAACTTTTATTCCACAACTTTGAATTGGCGCCATTTTTTTATATTTTAAAATTTCTTTTGAATGTTTTGAGAAATGTTATTTGCTGCTATAATTTTGTTTGGTGTTTTTAGGACTGTATATATCTGTATTTATAGATGGAAGAATTAACCAGTATTTTTTTGTAGGGGTGGGGGTGGGGGTGGGAGTGGGGGTAGGGGGTTTTTTGCAATTAATTATAAGTATCTAGTCAAGAATAATTGTTGTAATAAAATCTTAGTATTCCCATGATAAACAAATTAAATTATATTCTCTCTCAACTTTTATATATAGATGGTTCTTTATAAACTTATTAATAATATTAGATAATTAATCTCTCTTTACTTTTTAATCATGCATGTAATCTTTCTTGTTAATAGTCAATCCCCTAACCAAATCCTAGGCTTTATTACATCACCAAATCTCAATAATTAACCCCCTTAATTAATCACGCTGCCTTAGCTAGATGCTACACTTGGTGAAAACATCTGGTCAATTTTAATTACATTCAATTTACACACGATATACCACGTGTGTATATGTAAATAGGGGTAAAGTCCGACTCATTGAAGTTCACGGAGTATAGCATAGATAACTCGATTTTAAGTAACTCGTTCTAAATTACTAAAAGACGAAGTTCGAGTCAGAAATATTCGACTCGAATGGATTCGAACCGCAGATTTATGTTTCGGTCAAGCATGACTTTGACTAAAGCCAAACTTGGTGGTACTCATGATTGGTGCATTAGAGCAATAATGAATGGTGAGGAGTGGTTTTTGAGTGGAATATAATATATAAATCAATCAATAAGGAATCTAACAAATATTATTGTAAGTACATTTGGTTGTCTCTTGTGATATTTTGAGAGCAAATTAATGTGGGCATGGTTTTTGTGTAGGGGCCTATGTTTAAATATTTTCCATTTTGCAAATGTATTATGTATGTCATCATCTTCCTATTCACAATTCACACACACACACACACACACAGTAAACAAGCTTCAATTATTAGTTCCAATACCAAATCATGCAAAACAAATTGAAATAGTGTATGGAGATTCTTTCATTCATATATTCTTTTATTGACTGCATTTCATCATGGTTTTTTTCCACCAATTGGAAAATAATAAGATTTAAATTTATTTTTGATATTTCGGGTTTTCGGGTACTCACTTTGTAAAAAAATGTTTTATCGATATAAATACGAAGGAAAGAATGAATACAGAGAAGATAGAAGGCTAGATACAAACGATATATAGTAACTTTGATACGTGGAGTTGTAGTTTATCTTCAATGACTCCGTCGCTTCACACAGTCTAGTTCTTTGTTCAGAATTTACAGATGGAAGTAGCACCAACAGGTTTCAGTGCACATAGACTGAAAAATCATAGATATACCTCCATTCACTATCGAGTTGACTCACCAACACATGCACAGTCAACCAGTCACCAAAACCCAGTGTTTCACTCATAAATGTTCAATCTACTCACATAAGACAAAAGATGGTTTGAATTTGAGAGGAGTGTGTTGCTCTTGCCTCTATATCTAACAGCAGTATAAATAGCCACAAAGGCAACTGTCTGTAGCATTATTATCGACGAAATTGTAAATATGTCGTCGGAAAAAGACAAGGGATGACGAGAAATTAGGGTTGAGAGGATGTTTTGAATAACCGAATGAACGATCAAGATCAATCAAGAGAGAGATTAGGGTTTAAGGCATGGTCAAGATCACTTATGTTGTTGGTTGGCACCACAATGATTTTCACATAATTTAACTAAAATTGGAGGGTCCCAACAAAATATAGAATATTCATTGATTCTTCAATTATTTAGTAATTTTATTTTTGTCAATTATATGTTTAGTTTGTAGCCTTTGATAGTGCATCACAGAGTTAGGCTGCAAAAAACAATTATATTTGGAAATGGACCAACCTGCCCATACATACTTTTCAGGGGTCAAAAAGTGTATTTTAGACTTTCTTCGGACCAAGAATATAATAAAGGCAATGAATAACTTTCTTCACAACATTTAACGTACCTAAAATTTCCATTTTTTTTATAATTTTTACATGACAGCAGAATTTAAAAGAAAAATTAAATTAAATAAAATATATATATATATATATATATATATATATAGGGGGCAACTATTTTGAATACTAATTTTTGCTTAGTTGAATACTACCTAGTTGAAAACCACAATTGAGTACATATTTATAAGTTTTTTCTTACTTTAATACCAAAATAAAAATAAAAGTACAAAAATACCCTTTCATACAAAATACTAATCACATCAATTTTTCTTTGAATTACCTATTTGAAAACCAAATAAAAAAAAAGAAAAAAAAAATTCAAACACAAAAAACCTCCCTCCGTCCACCTCCCTCCGTCCACGCCGCCCGACGCCGCCGCCGCCGCTCCAACCATCGCCGCCGCCGGACGCCGACGCCAAACACCGCCGAACGCCGCCCAACGTCGCCCAAAGCCGCCGCCGTCGTCGTCTTCGAATAGTAAGTTATAGTTGTTTCGATTTTTTTTTCTTTAATATTTATTTAAGATTTGATTGTTTGATATGGGTAATTAGGATTTGGTTGTTTTAGGTTAGAATGATCGTTAATTAGTAATGGGTGCATCTGATTTCAGTCGATTTGAGCATTGATTTGAGATTCGTGGGTCGGTTCTTCGTTCACCATTTTCGACCTGTATATGTCGATTTTCGATGAATTTTCGACAGGTTGATGTCGAAAATTCATCCAAAATCGACATGTAGATGTCGAAAATGGTGAAAGTGTTGAATTTGGATTTTGGTAATTTTCGACAGCTACCTGTCGAAAATGGGTTGCATTTTCGACAGCAACTTGTCGAAAATGGGTTGAAGCGGCTCAGAATTTCGAATACGAAATCACACAGGAACTTTGAAAGGTTGGGAGCCGGCGCCGTTTATTACAGAGGTAGTACAAAGATGTGGTTTAATGTCAGTTGTACAGGCATCGTACAACACTGTGGACGGCCATCTACTTAGAGCCTTCGTAGAGAGATGGCAGCCAGCTACCAACACATTTCACTTACCTGTTGGAGAGATGACCATCACACTTGACGATGTGAGTACGTTGGTCGGTTTGCCAGTTGTTGGGCGTACCGTATCTTGCGAGCGTTTGGTCCGTGATTCCAAAACGATCCCCAGTACTTTGATGTTCGAGTTGCTAGGTGAGTACCCGGACGATGTAAACAAGAAGAAAGCGGTCAAGTTGGAATGGTTGAAGGCTAAATTTAGCAAAGTGACCATGAGAGATAGTGTGGAGAAGAGGACATACGCCATTCGGGCGTATTTGTTATTTTTGCTCGGGTGTACTATACTGTGCGACAAGACAGGCAACATGGTAAGCGTTGAGTACCTAAATCTTGTATCTGATTTGGATCGGATCGGCGAGTATGCTTGGGGCACTGCATGTCTTTGCCGGTTGTACGATGAGCTTTCCTCAGCCTCACAAAAATCAACGAACTCGATGGCTGGCTGGCTGACGCTCTTTCAGTCATGGATTTACGAGCACTTTTCTTATTTGGGGGGTGGCACATTGAAGACGGAATTCGAGGGGCCATTAGCGAGCCGATGGGAGCCTCAGTCAAAGACTACTTCAACGCCTGAACGAGCGTCGTACCTGCGATCTCGATTAGATGATTTGATCCCCGATCAGGTAACATACCAGTTTAATAATTTGTTATTACTACTTAAGTAGGTTTTTACATCTAATTTTTTATTTATTTTACTAGGTTTTATGGTCACCGTATACGGCTATTCGTGATCGTTTCCCGATGCCAGATTCTGCTTGGTTTAGTGGGATGATATGTTGCATGGACCACTTCGAGGCATATCATCCGGACAGAGTGTTGAGGCAGTTCAACCGGGTGCAAATCATTCCAGGTCGTGCATACATGTCAAAAGATATGTACAAAGCTCTAGTTAGCAAAGGTCGACCGGTCCAGAACTCAATTTTCGTTGCGTACGGCGAACGATTCTCTGATCGGTGGGAGGAGTATTGTCTGGACGAGGAGTCGAGGTCCGTTGAAATTGAACTCGGGGAGGCGGACACTTCGCCGGACTACATGAATTGGTTCCGACCCAGATGCATGTTACAACTGAGTAGGCATGGAGCCCATCCACCTCGACCCCAGGCGGATCGACCTCGACCCCATGAAGCTCGTCCAGAGGGTGGTACCGATAAGGAGGTCCAACTTTCACAAATTTTGGAGTTGGTGAAGGGTACACTTAGCGAGGTGCGGGGACTTGCGCCATCCGACGCTCATACGGTCATGTGGGGGACCCTAAATGATATTGTCAGATTGATCGAGCCGGATGCCCCACTTCCACCTCCTTCGAGCTCGTCGGATGCCCCACCACCACCTCCAGGTAGCTCGATAGGGCCAAATCCACCGCCATCGAGCTCGTCCGATGCCCCACAGGCGGTTGTGAAACGCGTGTTTAGTAGGAAGAAAAAAACACAGGATTAGTCTTGTATTTTTTTAGATGGATGTTGTTTGATAGATTTTATTTGTTTTACTTGTTTTTTAATTTAGTTTTATATGGATTTTGGCTGTTTTAAATGAAAATATTTTTGATAATTTTTAATTTTTTTTTGTCCAAAAACACTTAGAATATGTTTTTTATCTTACATTGCAATATATTTGGGGTTAATTTAAAAAAAACAAACAATTTGCAATTTTTTCAAAAAAAAAAAAAA